AGTATCCTACTACCAATAACTGCTGCTTAATAACATGAAAAGCAATGACAGCTATCAGCCCGAAGAATAAGTAAACGACCCAGCGTTTCAAAATTCCATGTTTTCCAATTCCATAGCCGCTTTTTGAATGCTTACACATCTGTCAACACTTATTTATTGTCTGTAACAATCCTCACATAAGTTTTCTTTCTTCTAAAAAGATGTATGACTAGCACATCCAAATGATATCCCTTTGAATCAAACACAATTATTTTCCTCCCATGAAATACACAACTTTTATAAATGGCGACCGCTTACATGTCTAATATAAATTCGCCGTAAGTAACAGAAATAAGGATGGATGGTTTGACTTTCCCCCCTACTAGTATTGTTTGTTTTTATTATTAAAAAAAGCGATCATTCATATTATATGAATAAAATGAATAATATCATCGCCATTTAACGTTGATTGTCGAACTTCTTTTTCAGCCCACGACTTCTTGTATTTTATGAGAAATTCGACTAAATGAGGCTACCAGTGGGGAAAACAGATTTTAATATTAAAGTTGATATTAAGGAAATTTCATTTAAACTTGTTTTTAAAGGGACTCCACTGAGGTTCTTTTGACATGATGGGACTAAAAATATTTTTTCAGATAAATGTACCATTTGATGTTGGTTTAGACCACTAATCTTTGTGCAAAATTTCAGATTATTCGCGCACTTCGTTTTTCCAGAATAACTACTCAAATTGTAAACAAAAATGACCCAAAATGAAAAGCGTTTAAACACTTTTCACTCAAATCGGCCTAAAAAAGCATAAAAATACGATTTTTCAATTTATTTCAAAGTATATTTCTTAACTATCTTTGCATATATTTCTGTTTAAAATGCCCAAGCTCATCTATGTAAGGAATTCAAATGTTACGTTTTTAGGCTTTTAAACCTCAGTGGAGTCCCTTTAAGCATAAAATAAAAAGAAAATTTGTTTGTTTGTTGTGTTAGATGTAATTTTATTTCATCTCGTGAACTTTAAAAACATTATTCTCACGAGTGAAAATTCTGTATTTAAAGCTCACGAGATGAAATAAAATTTCATCTTACACACAAACAAACATATCCTCTACATGATTAGGAGCAAAATAGAATATCAAAATTATTTGTTCCTCCCATCATTTATAAACACTAATTTGAACTACATGTTATTTGCTCGAGTCAAGGTAATCGGTTTAGTTCACAATGTTTTTTCAGGGTTTCGACTTCAAAAAATTGTGTGTTTTCAAAGGGTACGTTTAGACGCATAGATGATTCTCTTGCGATATTTAACAACATTGCTGGTATGTTGAATTATTGTTCTGATTAATAAAAGCAAAAAAAAAAAGCTAGAAAAAGTTACAAATACGGCTAGTACAACGTAAATGTGCTGTAAAATATGCTTTTGCAAAAACATTTGATTATCTATGCAATCAGATTTAAGTTTCTTAATTAAAGAAGTGCTTAAATCTATACAGTTAATATGTAAGTTACATTGGAGAGCAGTACCTACAATATTATTGTACTTTTGTACGATGTATAGAGGTGACATTTGAAATGTTTTGGCCACAGGTTATTATCTGATACTTATAATAATGAAATAATACTGCAAATGCCATATCTATGCCACCGTACTTATGCATTATTTTGTGTTATTTATTCTTGATAATGAAAATCTGTATTCTAGCCATTCCGTTTTCAACATCTAATAGAAATGATTACTTTGTGAGCTCTGATTCAAGTAAATACTTCATTTATCAAATCTGCTTCGAATCCAGCAAGATACGCGATGGACGATGTCCGAACACAGTGACCTTATTGATGGTGAAGGTGGGTATTAGCTGTCTGTTAAAAAGAATTTCACAAATAACTAAATTGATTTTAGGTTACTTGAAAATGTAGTTTGAAGATAGTCTTTAAATAATTCATTTCTGTTTATTCGGAAAAAAACATACATTATTCATATTTCGTACAGACAGTATTAGTTTTTATTATTTACGTTTTTAATTAATATGGACATTTTCTTAAAGTTCTAAATGTTTAGTTTTCCATTTGAATTGAATTGCATAGCTATTGACATGCTAAAGTGGAATAGTTATTTTTATACTTCTTGCATACTTTGATGTTATTAAATGAAATGTAAAATAATATCAAATTTTCTGCCGCCAATTCGTAAGACTTGTATTTGATACTGCTATCTAAATATAAAAATAATATTAATCTAAATAAGGAACAACGAGATACCCCTGTCAATGATGATGGTATTAGAGAGGGCGACATTAGGTTGAATGATATTCCTTGGGCTCAGATTGAAAATGACTTCAGAAACTGCTTCAGCCAAATGTTTGTTGACAAGACAACGCCGCGGTTAACATGGAGTTGGACGGGCCAAGGTTGTTTTTTTAACTGTTGTAAGATATTGTTTATTGGTATCATCATCACGAATTTGATGATCTATATGTTTCTGCCAAGCTTGTCTGTGATTTAACTAATTAATATTTTATTCATCCAGTTTTCATATAGTAGGTTGAAGATACTATACAAGGATATATGTCGGTATGTGATTGCAATGGTAGAGGAGAAAAGATGTTTATCTCTTGAACTTATTTTTTTTAATTGATTATATCGCGTATTTTTTTCGACAATAGTGTTGTTTGTCCTAGTCCATAGAAGAGGATGATTTAACACATACCAGCTGTATTCATTTCAGGTGCCAGGCGTTATATACGTTATGCCCATTATCTCGTTTACCCACGTTTTTCTTCGTGTTAACATTAAATACTTAAGGAGGTCAATTACTTTGTTCATTGTAATTTTATATTATACTATTTGTTGCATGATTTTCGCTCTAAAGCAATCGATTTCATATCTTATTTCAGCTTGTCCAGTACCAGGTACAGAAGCATTTCAAAAAGAAGTCTCTGGATAAAGTAACACTTTGCAAGATCTTTATTTTGTCTGTCAGTTAATTTTCATGGACACCAATTCATCTGGAAGATATAATATTAATATCACATTGAAAAAAGAGACCCGACGAATCAGTCCAGTTTTTGGTGATATGTATTCGTTTCTTGGAAATTGTGTTATATTATGATGGTGTTCCTATGTACTGATAAAAATAAAGTTTTGCTCTGTTCTGTTCCGTTCTGTGTTAATTGTTCTTTTCTATTCTGATAACCGAATATTTAACTCCACCTTGGCAAGAAAATAAAAAACAAACGAACAACAACAACAAAAAAAAACAAGGACAAATTATTGTTTTGAACTGTTAGGTATTTTGAACATTGCTATATCAGAAGTCTTTTATTTTGTTCGTTCAAATATATTTGTATTATAATTAAAACTTAACGTGTAAATTCATGCCAGGAGTACACTATGACTCAATTTTATAGATTGTTATATTTTTATGACACATGTGCATGTTTTATCTGAGTATTTCAATTACAGTTATTCTTCTCTTGATAAAGATCCGCCGATTTCTTATTAGAGTTCATAAAAACCATGTTGATGGCATGTACTGAATACCGGCCACCACAACTAGTATGCATAGTTAGTTCAGTAAATTGCATTTGTATATTTACTAAGTCAGCCAATGAAAGAATCAATACAACATTAAAACAATTTAAGCTAACTTCACGTACAACTTTGTAAATAAATTGTGGTATACAAAAATAGAACTAGCGCCCTCAGCTATAAAATTATATATGTTCACTCTCTTTGAATGACATTTGAATTATAACTTCGATAATATTAAACTGTGACATATCTCTCTTGAACATTATTGCATGGACGCATTTTGACATAATACGTGTGTGCAACTTACCTGAATACTTTAGTTTTTTTTCACCAGCTCTAATAAATAACAAAATTACCTCATTGAGGTTTTTGTTTTATTTTTCCTTACAAAGTAGAACCAGAACATGTCATATTGCTATGAAAAAAATTGAGCAAGAAATAGAAATATTTGTCATGTTTAAAAATGATATTGGTGCATTATGAACAAGAGTGGCGGCGAGACCGAACATTAATCTCAGGTTTGTTCAAACCCCATCAGGTGAAACCACTATCTTGACGAGCAAGAAACTTTAGCAGGAACGGATTCGAAAATGTTTCAATAAGCTTCCAACTCAATGTAAGTAAATGAAATTCAGTATAAACTAAGCAATCATTAATTGCTAACCAAAACACCACTCACTCAGCACCGTGTACAGCATTAAGTGGATTTGTCTTATTTTCAATTTAAAAAACTATTCATCTTTAAATTTAGGGATTTCAATATAAAACAAACCTAACATTGTGAAAAACAGGAAAGAATTTGGCAAGACAAAGATTGGTTGTGTCTTATATTGAAGTATTCTGCAGCCAGTCAGGAAAAAGAACTGTAGATAACACGTTGATACAGTTCTTAAAGGTAATCTATTATCTATAAGTTTAAAGGGGTATAAAAGTTTATCTAATGCAATATTAGTTCTAAGAATTGTAAGAGGTGCAATTCTTTTGCTTCCATCATACCATGGTCAAATCTCTGAGGTTGCCTCTGTTTATTTAACATATATGATAAATATTAAACATACTGAATACAACGTTTAAACTGTCTAGCAATGATTTCGTGCACGTGCCATTCCGCTAGAAACAAGGTTTCATTCATACAAATATTTTGATTCTATTTTGTTTGTTTGTATTGTTTTTGTTACTTTATTTTGTTTTTGTTTCAAATTCAAACAATAATTTTGTACACTACAGAAAACAGCTGAATACAATTTAACAGTACATTATACGAACAGAGAAATGAAATGATGAGCTAAATTTTAGCGAGTTTAGTGGCTCAATCTATCATACTTTTTTATCATTATATTATGGTTAAAATAATACATAAAACATGTCATGGAGCGGAAATATGTGGTAACGTAACGTTAAAAAATGCTTTCGGCTACCGGAAAATGCAAATATCTGTATATATTTTTTCTTTCTTGAACTCGCTGTCAGACAAATTTCTGGACGTGAACAGAGAAGTGAACAAAGATGTATGGCTTCTATAATATATTTTTTCAAAAAATGATCATAAATGGATATTGATAATACTGATATATTGATGAGTATTTGGGATTATTATCATACATGTAAAATTAAACATATTAGAAATCGAGACGGAGTTGATAAATCTTCTTTATGGATATTTTAGAAAAAAGTAGAATATTTCATGATAACTCTTTTGTTTATCTAACTATTTCCAAAACTAAAAATCATGCGATATTTGAAATACAAAATGGAAACACTCTGTTGCTAATTTGCTTGCAGGAACTCCACTGAGGTCCAAAGGCCTAAAACATAAAATTTTAATTTCGTACATAAATTAGCTGGGGGCACAAAAGATAAATAACAAATATATTCAGAAATAAATTGAAAATCGTATTTTGTGCTATTCCTTGCTCGATTTGAGTGAAAATGAAAAGCGTTGCAAGGCTTTTCAATGTTGAGTCATTTTTCACAATTAAAATTATTATTCAGAGAAAACGAGTATAATTCTACATAAAGTGTATCATTAATCTCGAAAAATTATTTTCAGTCCTGTCATGTCAAAATACCTCAGTAGTGTACCTTTAAAGAATATGAGCAATACAAAATAAAATCGAATAGAACTGCGAGTTTAATTTTTATCTATTTTTTATATTTAAGATAACCTGAACATAGATATTTTAAAATCTCGGAGTACGCTTCCTGTTTGTTATTATAGTGTTTAAATATCGTTACCCCACGATCCCTAGGGTTAGAGACAATCATCTTAACAACATTACCGATCTCTTTTAATATTTTGTAGAAATAAGTTTATTTTTATTGTTAACATATCTAAAGAAAGTATTTTTTACATGTTTTTTCATGTTTACACGTTTTTGACCAGTTATGTTTTCTCATTGTGCTTTTTACTTGTTTTCTTCCTAAAATGTCTTCTTATTTTATCATCAACATTTATATGGTTGCCTGTTTTTGTGTTCTGCACCAAGTTTCACTAATTACATATATTGTATTGGTAAACAGCAATCAAAATTGTTTCGAAAATTATGACAAGACAATCATTATAACTTCCCAGCTTCATTTTCATGCTAAAGAGAGTTTGTTTGTTTGATTGTTTATTACGTTAGGTTTAAAGTAAGGCCCTTTTTTCAACTTTACAACTGGACTCTCCCTTCGTGCATGATTTCAGGTACAGGCGTCTCTACGTAGGAAAAAAGCAAGTTGTATAGCTTTCTATAGCCATAGGAAAACCTAGCGCATATTTACCTTTGCATTAACTTTTGGGTAAAAGTAAATTACAAGGTATAAAATTTAAAGATATAAATTTTTGCAATCAGAAATGCTGAATTGTGAAATAAAAAGGTATTTAATTATCTTAATTTTATAAAAAGGGTTGTTGAAAATTCCGAAAAATCGTATTGTTTTTTCATCAAACCTAAAAATTTTGTTAAATATGTAAAAAAAAATTAAAATTTTTAATTTTTCAAGCTGTTTTCTTCTTTCCAGGGCCAAAAAAAATGTCAACGGTTTGAATATTTTCTCTTGCTCTTGTGTATTTAATGTATACTATTTAGTGAACTGTTCAACCTTATTACAGGATTCTGGTGTTAGTCCTGGTTGCGTCCATGTCATACTGTAATGGCGTTGGTGCACAAGTGTTGCAAGGTGGAAATTCTCATATTGGCCTACTCAACAACAGATATCCAATAGATCGGTCAAGATATCCAATAAACCGACCCGGATATCCAATAGACCGACCCGGATATCCAATTAACCGACCAGGATATCCAATACATAGACCTGGATTTCCTAATTACCGGCCGGGATTTGGAATAACTTCAATGCCATTCACGACGACTACAGCACCACCAGCAAGCATGCCTATAAGTGACGAGGATGACTACTTAGCTGCCGAAATCGGTGTCAGACTACCACCAAACGAGTGCGTCATCTCAAATGATCAGTTTTTACAGCATGTAAGTTTTGATAATGCTATTGTATAATGAATGATACATTCAACAAAGCTTTGTTCTTGAGTTCAATGTTAAGAAAATGTACTACTGTAAAATGTCCAACTGACTCAATCACTCACTCCTCGCAGTCACTGAATATCAAATGGTATGTGAAAACTGTCAAAAATGCCCCGAACCTCATCTTAGATTTCTTATGTTTATCCAGCCATTCCGTGTAACTGACTTCAAGATTAAAATACTGAATACCGCTTTTTTGACCTTGTGTAATGGCGCACAAGAGGTGTAGAATATTTTTCCATTCTTTTTTCAGTACATACGTTATCAAATGAAACAGAATCTGCGTTTGGTATAACTTTTGTTTTCATTTGTCTCTAGGGGAACCTTTGTTCAGGCATGAATTGAATTATTCGGGATGTCATGGATATTCGAACGGTTTAACCTACTGCTGCTACATCTAAGCCCAATGTTTCAATTTTAATGAATTTAGTAACATCTTTATTATTTTATTGCTCAATTGACACGTTAACAAAATATAACTGAATTTCGTTTTCCTTACTTCAAAACAGATTTACGATTTTCTTAGGTTATCATGTTACATATTAAAATGTACGAATATAGAGGTATATACAGTCTACTCCACTTATAACGAGATCGGTTTTAACGAGGTACCGCTTACAATGTACATTCTACTGTGTCCCGGCCCTTTTCCTTCTATTTTCCTTTCATTTTTTATCGTTTATAACGAGATCGGTTTTTGCGAGGGAATCATCCCAAATCCCCCCCGACTGTTGTATCCGGAAATGCACTGTATTTTGCTGTTTTTGATTTTTTATTACGTTTACTTTGAAATTTTTTATTAAAATGAAGCAGCATCCGTATTTCAGAAATTTTTATATATTCCCTGAAAATGGGGGTCAGCATTAAATCTCACCAAAAATATAAATCTTATTCTTTTCTGTACAATATTTCATGTACATTAAATTACATAGACATTCTATGTTACAAATCTTTTAAGAAACCACCATATGCCTTTGAAAATAACCTAATTTTACTGTTTTGGAAATTTATTAAAAAAATGTCAGATATTAATTTGTTTACTTCAACAATTTATCATTTTAGGTTGTCGGTATGGACTGGATCGCTCCTTATGTTATTGACAACGATTCTCCATTAAATCCAGGAATATCTTACAAATTTAATGCCCTCTTTGGACAGAAATAAAACTCTACATTTCATTTCGAAAACGAGGGAGCCCCTCTTGGTAAATGCAAATTTGGATATATTACAACGATAAGAAATTTCAATTTGAATTATGGGGGGAAGTTCTTAAAATTTTTTAAATGCCCGCCACCTATTGGGAATTATTTTGGGCCCCCCCCAAAACCTTTTTTCGATTTGGGGTCTTTACCAAATTGTAACGAAAAATTATTTAATTTTCTTTAAATTAACAGTTTAAACAAAGTTTATTTCAAACAAGTATACTTTTAACAATTTACAAATAAAACTTTACAACACAAAAATGAATGAAAAAGGAACATAACCCGAAAGCTGAAGCTTATATATGTCTTATCCTAAATAAAGGTCTAATCCTTATTGATTTGCTATTAATTTATATATCATATACATGTTTGTAGCACAAAGAATCAATTAATCAAAGAAGTTGCTTTATCAAAATTGATTATTAAATTGATAATTTACGTACGAGTATAAATTAGAATAAATCTTTTCATTTCTCATATTTTTTTGCGGAAAACTGAAATGCCACGTTTAGAGATATCGCTTACAATTTAGTATTACATTTTTTGAACGTTTTAAAAGGCATTTCTATTTCAATTTTTGTATGTTGGTAATATATGTCACGGTTCAGGACTGTTCACTATTTAGGGGAGAAGATGTGTAAGCGGCCGGATAGCTCAGTCGGTAAAGACGCGGGTACGGTATTCCGAGGGTCCCAGGTTCGAGTCCCGGCAGGCTGCACATTTTTCTCAGCCTGTGACATTTGGCGCCCAATGGAGGACCGTGCTGGATATAGCTCAGAGTTTAATTTACATTGCTCTTTAACTTTGTGAAATTCGAAGACGAATTTCAATATAGCAGGGGAGTATTTCACGGTTCAGAACTGTTCACTAATTAACGGGAGAAAATGTGTAAGCCGGCCGGATGGCTTAGTCGGTAGAGAACGGTATTTCGAGGGTCCCGGGTTCGAGTTCCGGGCAGGCTGCATATTTTTCTCACCCTGTGACATATAATTATGTTTTATATTTTCTTTAGGGATGATATTACTAACACTTGTTTGTATATTGACGGACAATTCATGCACATTGGCGGTGATAAAGCAGTCTACGGCGCAAGCGGGGTGTGTACATTGAAACATATATTTCAGTTTTGAATCTATATGTACTTCTTTCAGGCGTGTTGTTTTACAGTAACTGTTAATAACGACGCCGGAATCATTCTTTTCTTACTTTATAAGAATGTTAAACAAAAATTCCATCAAGCAAAAACTTAAATCAAGTCATGGTTTTGCGTTTATTAAAAGCGTCATTACACAGACAGCTTATTTGTACGATTAATACTTCTTAGTTACGTTTGCAACATCGTTGTATCCTAGAACATGATATATTACATGATATATGTTTATTTAAAGAACAATTTTGCAGGTGATCAATTTGCTATAAGCGGCAGGGCAGACTTCTTCGTGAGTTTTGATCCTGAGAGATACGTCATTTTTTACATATGTTATGACGTGAACGAAAGTATAAGGGGAAGATGTCGAAACTCAGAGATATTTTTAATGCTTAAGGTAAACGTAACAAAAATTACATGCTTAATAAAAATCATACCGTTAAAGATTAACCGACCATTATTCTTATTTTGTCTAAATGTAAATTATTAGAATGTTTAATACTAATATGGGTATAAGAACTTACATGAACTTACAAGAGATGCGGATATCTATGTCTCTGAACTTACACACTATTATATCAAAATATATTGGTTGCCATAAACACAAATAAAATTGCGTTTTATTAATGGAAATTATTCAAAGGTAATTATTTCATTTTATTAAGTACAATTTTAATATCGCTTATATCATATTTTGGTTACCACGAGCAAGCTGAGACTTGTATTTATTATAATATTAAAACAGTGGAAAAAGGCTATATTACAGTTCTACATATTATAATTAACATTAGTAAACAATATTATATATTTAGCTTAATATATATTTTTGCTTTGTGGGCGAAATGGAAACATAAATATTCAAACATTTTCTTAGCGTTAGGCGTTCACGTTTGGGATTTTTCCTTGTGTTACAGAAATTTCTTTGAATGTTTATGAAACTAAGATTGGCAACTTTTAAATTTAATTTATATTCAATTCCAAGAGAAGCACCTGGTACTATGATGATGTAACTATGGACTTTATCATAATAGTCGGGAACATTTAACATAGGACTTTTACTGGACTAATTATTAGATCTATAAAAATGGCTGTTGACTTTTGGCGGGAAAATGGAATCGTGCTCAATATTGTATAGATTATATTGTAGTCAGTAAACTGTTTATTTTATTCAGGATCAGAGGGATTCATCTAATGATGACAATGGTGTCAGGAGGGATGACATTATACTAGATGACATTCATTGGACACTGATTGAAGAAACGTTCAAAAACTGCCTCGGCCAACAATTCGTGGATGAAACTGATCCCCAAATAAGATGGGTGTGGGAAAACGATGGTAAAGTTGTTATCATGTCTGCAGGAACTGAAAATAAAGCGCCTTTATCATTAGGATAGAGCCAATAATTCCTATGAAGTCTGACCAGGCTCTATGGCTCTATCTTTTTTGATAGCTTAGTTTGTTGACTGTTCCAAATTTAAAGCAGAACAAATAAAGCATGAAAAGCACAAATGAACATGGTGCGGATTTATGTTTCTAGCAGCAGTTTTTATTGTAGATTTTGGCCTTCCAATAATAATATCATTCTCTAAGTCTTTATATAAAACATTATTTTACATAACAGTAAAGAAATAGATCGGAATATATATTTTAATATGATTAAAAGGTAAGGATCAATATTATATGATTATCTATGTTATTTTTTCATTTATTAGACCATAGCTTTGTATAGACCATTTTCGAAAAAAAGAAGATAAAAAATGCACACCCTAAAAAAAACTTGAAAAAAGCAAAGAAAAAAGAATCAATAGTTTGATTTTTGTGAGATAACTTATTAGCCTTTTAATTCATATATTATAGTAAAACATGTTAAGAGACATTTTTTATCTTCATCACATATCTGGCAATATATTAAGTTAACAAGTAGCTATGTTGTCCTGTTTCATTCCAGATTGTGCTAAACCAGGGACAAGTGAGTTTGAAAGTGGAGTTTCTGGATAAAACGTCATATGGTGTCTAGTAAACAGAGTAACGCTTTTTCGCAAACTGCAGAAAATGAGTGTTTCTTGTTTGTGAATTTTGTAAAATTCAATACATTGAAAAATTCAAATGACGAATAAATATCGTTCCTCATTCTTTCTGTTTGAATTATTTTGTTAAACGATTACCAACATTATAATGGAACTAAAAGATACAAATGTTACAATTGCCTTGTACTTTTTATTCGATATTTTTGTGATTAAGTATACATGTTGACTATATTTGGCCGATAGAAAATGTCAATTTTCTTGGATTTTTTTCAGCCATATTTTTTTTTTTAAATTCTGTGTTGGTGCCTAAATTGTTTTTACTTAAACATGTTTTGTGACAAATTTATTGCTTTTCCTATCTTTAAAAGTTTATTTGATATTTCATCCATTTATGATAAAGGAATTTGACGGCCATTTTAGTGGTCACATGAAACGGCCATTTCAATGGTCAATAACAAGTTTTTTAGTTTAGTATCCACCTTGATCGGATTCAGCATACCCTAAAGAGTTAAAATATACCAAAATACCACTTGTACTAAAAAATGCCCCTAGCATCTTAAAGAGGGGCATATTCTCAAAAATAGTCCCGTCTATTATTACCATTACTTTTTTTAGAATGACACGGAAGTAAAAATAACGGTATACACCAAGCACGTAACACTCAGCACACACATCAAGGTACTTATATGTATGACTCTGTTGATTTCTTAAATGCTACACAGTATACACACGTTTAATGCAATTGCAAGGATGAGCACGATGTCCATATATAAAATGTTATAACAAAGTTAACGTAAAGAACACCTTTCCCGTGTAAGAAATCAGAAATCTGAAAAATCTTTAATGCTCGTATAAATAAACACATGTATTTTGAATAAAAGACAATTAGTGCACAGACACTTGGGTGTGGAGCTTAAAACGCCTTTAAAATCCAAATGAAAGATATATTTGTCAATCCCAGAACATGTACTGATCATATATATATCACAAAAACTTAATATAAGCCGTTTTGAAAAATATATATTTCAACGTCTATAATAATACACAAGATAAAAATGTTCGCCGGAAAAAATTCGCACACCTACCGTCAACATCACCATGTAATTTATTCCATTTCCAATATTTTCACATAATCCTTTGGTCCATCGACACAGAAGATATAATTCTTCACGATGATGGTCAATTTTAAACTTCAACGGTAATATAAACAACGCAACAGCCGAAATAAACATCGAGATTATCGCCGTTTTAATCCATTTACAAAATCTTTCGATAAATTCAAACGTGGCCCCGTTTCAGCTCGAGGGCATTTTGCATTTCAGGGCCGATTATCACAGTCTGGCACAACTATGACGTGTATTGATGTCTTTAATACACTTGGTACACAAATGTAGAGTAGCATTTTTCAAAAAAGAAAATACTTTGAAATTTCTTTCGCTGCATTTCTACACTGCAGTATAGTAACTTCTACGGAGTTCATTACTGTTTGTGTGTTCAAAGAGAAAACTACTGTAGAATCTAGAAAAAGATATATTTAAGCTCTCATAATAAAAAGATAAAAAAAATGCAGCGTAGGAATAACCAAAGAAGGAGATGCATATTTTTATGCAAGAGAAGCGCTAATACACCTTTTATCGTGCATTTATCTACAAAAGCCCTGGGACTTTGTAAAATCTCTCATACTGCAGACTCGGGCATTAAATCCGTCCTCGTGGTTTTACAGGTGTTTTGCTTGAAAAAAAAAACGGTGAAGTTACCCTTTAATGTGACAAAAGATTAGGATATGCAATATATATACTTTAACTACTAAGTTTTTACTAAATATTTCAGTGGTTGCTTCTGTTTCCGCCATTTCATCTAGGAAAGCCCATGTCTTTTGCTGTGAAAGTTTTTTTTACTGTTTCCCTTAAACTTAAATAAAAAAATTCTATTACAACACCTGAAAAATAATTCAAAGGTTATTAAAAATACTCGATTACCAACGCCTTTAAAGATTCTGTATGTGCCTTTGAACAATTAATACTGTCAAACCCCGTTTCACCAACTTCGACAATAGTATAGATTATCTTAGTTATTTATATAAAGTTAACACGAAATAATTGAGATAGTCAATTTAAGCTCTTGACATTTTTCAGTGGTATGAATAACAGTCAGCATATGTTTATGTATATACCCTTTTCGTGCATGAAAAATAGGCTGTCATTCAAGAGACCAAAAAAAACAAAAAAAATCATAATGTTTATATGATGTTTTGCTTGTCATGCGTGTAAAAATTACGTATAAGAAAAAAGGTACATGTACTGCTCGGTTTACATTTAATGGAATACGACTGACAAACTGATTTATTGTTATCGTGTATTTTTTTGTATAAGGAAATTAAAAAGAACTACCTGACAAAGTTAACGTTAACCTAATACAGTTTTATAAACTTAAGTATTTGTTTTGGGCCTTATATCAATAATATATTCCGATTCAGTGTAAATAAATGATTAATATATATCGTTTATTAGATGTCGTTGACAGTGTCATGATCTTACTCGATAAATATTTTCACAACTACCGGATTTATTGTGGATTGGGCTACAATGGGCATATTTTCAATAAGTATTTCAAACATTCATAAAAACAAAAGAAATGTATCAATTGGATATTCTTATACATTACTTCTTGAAAGAATTGTTGATTATGTTTTAAGTGATTTGGAATGAACATTTAAACATGATGAATGATAATAATATTTTGTTCTAGAACAATTTGTTGTCTGCTATATGAATATATGTAATAATGCATCATGTATCTTATGCTTACTAACAACATTCATATAATTATATTTCTTTCCTAGCATGTTGTTATGTCTGATATTAAATACTTTCAAAACCAATATTTATTGTATTACAACCTTCAATTATAGACAAACTCACGTTCAAACGTCGATCGCATTTATTTTGCCAGCGTCATATATTTGCCGGTATACAACTTGATAAATCGTAATCATTCAATCAATGGTAGGATACTATGTCATCACGCACCTGCTGAATGATGCACCCACTCGGACCAATTTTATGTAGAAAATTCGTCAACAAGTACGATTTTATTATAAAAAAAAATAGTGTATCAGAATATAATGTAGTGTACCAAACAATGGCTGCAGTCCTTGAGATTTATAATTTATAGATTTATTTCCTGGTTTATTAGGCCTGAAAACGGGATAAGTTTTTCTTCTTCTCTGAATGCTCCCACTCGGATTTTTTACACAACCTATAAGAAATTAGGTTGAAACCCTTATTGAAAATTATTTTACACGTACCAGAGCATAGACCGAATATTCTAACACTCACGTGATTTTGTCACTATAGACAAAGAAGGGAAAAAACTGGTGTTAAACTGCCAATAAACACCGGTTAGGGACTACTTGTATATGCGCTGTTATGTTTTCACCCTCGATTGTATAGTTTACAAAGCATTTTAAAGCAACAATAAAAAGCATTTTATTCATATTTTCAGTTCGTATAATGCTTTCTTTTCATACAATACCGAAATAATATCTCACATACACTAACGCCACATATTAGATCCATATCAGTTAATAAATAGTTTGACAAAACGGCGCCAATCCGTATAAGCAGCGTAATGACGTCATCCTAAGTAAACAACTCATTCATAAACAAGCTGACGTTATTTCATACATACAAGAATGAAATGGGGCACTGACGTAAACACAATACGACGTAAGTTTTTATTGTTGAAAAACTTGATAAAATAACGTTTTTTTTTCTAATTATTTCTTTTTGTTTAATAATTTCTATATCTTTGCAACAGTAGGGTGCGAAAATCGAACAGCGTTATACCAAAATCGGCACCGGAAGTTATTTCCGCTTGAAAAATAACATTAGTGATTTTCCTTATTTTATCGTGTTAGAATCGAAATAACATCGGCCTGAGAGGTGTATATCGGCTATTTAACACCGGTTTTGTCGTTTTGATGCGAGAAAAATTAACCACTCAGGCCTACGGCCTTCGTGGTCAATTCCTACGCATCAAAACTCCAAACCGGTGTTAAATAGCCGATATACACCTCTCAGGCCGATGTTATTTCTTAAATGTTTACACATTTTTCTATATTGGTTTCAAATATTTCTATTCAAACGTCTGTTTTTCTTATAATTTCATTTTATAAAAGTGGAAATTCTCCCAGTAGGACTCGATTTAAGAGATGGTCCCATTCGAATTCAGAAAATTGGTGTTCCACATATTTAAACAACCTACATTGTACTATGTACTTTAAATACATCTTTACAAAACATTCGCAGTAAATCATCTAAATAATAATTATTTAATTTAAATGTTTTTTTTTCACCTGACACTAGTCCATCATTTGTTCTCCTATATTTTGAGATTTTACATAGTGAGTTCTTCAATAGCCCAAATGATAAATAGTCCGATTTACATGTAACACTTATCAGAAAGATGTTGATTAAGGGAAATTTAATTTGTATTTGCTTAAAAGTACTGCATGGACAACATTAGGGACTTGCATTTATTAAATAAGACTGATTCAAAACGAGTCTGCAATTGTCTGTTTAAATTTTATTGCTCTAAGACGTTCTTTCTTTTTACCAGATATTCATAAGGAAGACATATTAAAAGTTGTTCTTTCGTTACAAGGAACTAGGTGACGATGTTTAAATCGGGCCACCAATCAGACAAGCTGGCTATGAAGATCCATTTAATTGCTCGAAATCATAACATATTTCTTTGTAAAAAAAAAGGTATTTCATTATAACAAAACTACATTTCTCACTAAGGTTTATTCCGCTACCGTGTCCCGAGGAACCTTTATTCAGTGCCAAAATGTATAAAAAGATTCACAATAAGGCCTGACACTTCAACGTAAACCACAATTGGCTTCTCTGTAATAGAAATATGTTGCTCAACGTTTTTCCCTGGTGAGTCTATTTAATTGTTTAAACAAAAAACCTTTCGTACTCGTATTTTAATATCTGGTTTGTTTAGGAAATAGATATCAATTCTGAGTGCATTGTTGTAGAATAATGCACGGTTTGAGTTCAAATGCGTAGTAATATAATCACGAAGGCCGATAGGCC